GCAAAGTCTGCTTGGGATTCTCTCTCTCCTTCCCTCCATCTCTGCCCCTCTCATCCTCTCTCGGTCTCTCAAAAAGAAAAAAAAAAAACTGGAAGAGATGCACTGTGAGAACAATCTTGGGGCGCTCAAACGCATAGGCCTCAGTGTACAGAAGACAGATGACACTACAGTAAACGGGGAGGCTGTGCCAGATATGGAGGCGCCTCAAATTCAGGAGGTTTTCTGGCTGCACCAATAGCTCCCCTACCAAAGATCTCCCAGAGCCCATCTCCGCCTCCCAAAATACAACCCCTCTGTGAGACTCCCTGATCACCCGCATCAGAAATTTACCTCCACCCAAGCCAGAAACATCTACCCAACTTTGTATCATTTTTAAGGCTGTAGGTACATATATCCCTGTGTCCTGATTATTTATACAATGTCAGCCTCTCTGTCTACCTCCCCAGCTCTACCCCTACTTCTCCAAATACGACTACCTCTCTGCCCCAGGGAAAGAAACAAGAAGAAAGCCCTCATTTTTCTTTTCTTTGCTTTTCAAATTCTTTGTCTCATGAGTTCTGGACTTCACTCACCCCATGGAGAACACATGGCAGATGTGAATGGGGAGGAAGTGGGAGGCAAACCATAACAGACCATGGCAAATACCACCATCTTCATCATATTATTTTCAGATAGAGATTTTCTTATCTCTTGAACACTCAACAGGTTAGGGGCTATTCAGAATACACAATGAGATAGGATCCTCTATATCAATTATTCTATCTTTTGGTGATATAAACTATTTTCATTAATGATTAATTCATGAAGTCCTAAAATTACCCTACTCCCCTCCAGAACCTCCAAAAGTTTAAATTATACCTACCCACTGGGAAAATCAAGTCTACAGTTAACTGCTGATAAATGTGACAACTAGATATAGTTTAGGCTCTCAGACATTACCAGCATTAAATTCCACAATAATTTTTCTTCTCTAAGTTGGAGGGTTTTTTCTGTTTTTTTTTTTAGGGGGGGGGGGGGGTTTGTTTTTTGTTTTTTGGGTTTGTTTTTTTTTTTTGGTCTCTGAAAACTATTACAAAAAATTATGAGCTACACATTGGGTCAGACCTACTCAAATACTATGATTTTAAGTTTAAGCTTAAGTTAGGGAATTACTTTTTCTCGCTTCACTTTAAATCTTTAAAAACAGCCGTGAGTCACTAACTAGTGTAATTTGGTATTTTATTTGAGATTCTAAAGGCACCAGCCTCATAATCCTCATGTGATGAATGTATAAAGGAGTGAAGGGGGCTGGGAGGGCGGTCACCTGTAACACAATGAAGGTCAAGGTTCTGTACCCATCCACAGGAGCTGAGTGACTAGCTGGGAATTATAGGAAGGCCGCCTGAACCCACACAGAGCACTGCCTTGTGATGAGAGCTATCCGTCTCAAAGGCAGCTTCTTCACAAGATGGAATGTTCTCCATCATTCAGTGTTTACACAGGGGCTGACTAACTACCCAGGGAGTGGCGACAACGTGAATTCAGTCTACAGGACCTCTCAAGGCAACTCTGAATCTAATTTGTTTCATTGACAGAAAGGAAAGACTTTCAATCATGAGTGTGTCTTCACCATATGTGGCAGCTTTAAGGACTAAATAGAGGAGGAAGAACACTGGGCCAGGACCCAGAGCAAGTCACTCGGATGTCAGTTTGCTCAGCTTTAAAACGAGGGGGTGGACTGGGTTCTAAGATTCCCTGATTTTAAGGTCTCTTAAAAGGGCTTCGTATTAAAAGTAATACGTTCTAAGTACATACAGGTATAATTCACTTCTCTGTGTCGGCTCCATTTGTCAAAACCTTGGGGAAAAGGTAAAGAGACACAAAGGTACTTGACTTAATGCCCAGGGGGCTGAAGATAGAGAGTCTGGGTCCACAGTGGAGGGTGGATTCCACACCCAACAGCGAGACCTACGTCCAGGGGAGCCCAGGGCTTTTTCTTCTCCATGCTCATTGTCACCTGCCCCTCAGGGCACAGGAAAGCCGCAGAGAGAGAGTTGTAGCTAAGCCAAGTCACCAGGAAATACTAAGTTCATAATGAATCACTGAAAAATGTCCTAAATATAGTATGCGTCGGTCATTGTGGACACTGTTTGGACTGTTTATAGGCACATGAGTATCTAAAAATATGAGCTGCACAGTTTCAAACAGTTCCTTACTATAGTCGTGTTTCAGATTTTGAGACAAGCCTACTCTGCCACAACAGAATTCCTAGTTACTGTGGTATTCCGAAACCGAATTCTGTGTGAATGTACTGTTTGAAGAAAGACCAACATTCCGAGAAGGAAAAAGGAACCAGCTCTGATAGGCTCGCTGTTTCGATGAGCTAAACCAACAATGCTTTGCTCCTAGCTTTGATCTAAGGACTCTGTTCTCTTCTGAGAGCCCCATATTTTACTTAATCCTTGTCATCAAAGCATCATATCTCCACTAAAGAACAGAAACAACATTTTTCTTGACATTACATCTAATAACAAGTATAAGCAGAGTGGTTAATGGCATGAAGATATCAATACAAATAAGTGAGACATTGTTCTGTGGTTTATTGGTGAAGTATACATTTTACAAATAGTTAGCTGGCAAATAATTACAAATCAATTCTAATGCTCCTTTTTTAAAAACTGGAAAGGAATTCTAAATACATGTTTATTATGTATTAATAACTGATTTATATTGATGTACTGCATGTTAATAACTATGCATTAATAATTAACTTATTATTTTACTACGAAGTCTTTAAAGTAGGAATTATTTTCCCTGGCACATAATCGCTCTTGTCTCCCTGGGTATCCAGGGTGTCCCCTCTCCAGTATCCCTTGAAGCAGATGTGAGAAGAAATTCCATAAGCACACCTGGAATTATTCTGTCCACACCTATCAGCTCTCCTTTAGCAAAAACTGCTACCATGGGAATAGGGTATCTCCATCATCCTGAGATTACTATTATTTTTTAAGGAAACCAAGGCCTTAACTTCTTCTTTGGAAAGATATATACCATAAGAGATTTTTTTTTTAAATCACTTATGCTCCCTTTAAAAGAGAAACATGCCACTAGGGATTTTACTACTAAAAAAGACAAATAATTGCTCCTATATTTAAAAATCTTCAGATCATCAATATACACACACATCTAAAAATAAAATATGTGTTAAACATTTGCAAAAAGCTCTTTCAGATTTTGAGAATCTACTGTGCCATGATGTAATCCCTCATGACAAGTGTATTCTTAAAAATGAGTCCTGTGTGAAAGCAGTTGTGAGATGCAGCACCTTTAGGAAACCAAGTGAGCAAAAAAATCTCTCAGAAACTGCTTACAAGCACATCAAGATAAAGGGAAAGGTAATGCATTATTTTCAGGAATAACTACGTAGACCAAAACGTAGAACTTTGCAGGTAGAAATGTGCCATGCATCATCTCTTTGAACCCAAGAAAGGATAGAGAAAAAACAAGCTCGGAGAAAGGAAATTAAAAAAATAATATAAATCCATCTCGTTCCCAGTCCCTCCCCTCCCAATCACCCCATCTTGCTCTCTGTTTCTTTCTCTTACTACTTCAGCCCGATTCAACTATTGTAATCCCTCCCAAAGACCACTCCGCATGAAAACCTCTACGACTTTCCTTGCTAACTGACATCTGAGATGTCATGGTTTCAGATTCAATAACAGTGACTTTGAAGTTGACAGGCTGAGATGGCCTGTGGTCGTCAAAGGCTCTGCTGAGGGGCGCAGCCTCCAGATCTCCTTCAGGAACCGTGGCTGTTTGTGACTTGCTCTGACACTATTAACACTTTAAGATATAACTTCCAACATCAGTCTCGGAAACCAGGCCTCGAGCAGCATCCCTCAGCTCATGGGGGCGTCTGGAAGCTTCCGGCATGCTACTCCCACTCCTCCTAGTACCCCACTCTGCAGTGGGGTCCTTTAGCGTGGAGACTGGAAATTCGTCCATTAACCCCTGAGGTACTGCCTCTAAATGCAAGGAGATGATGCAGTCCTGGAGTCCCAAGGGGCCTCCTGGACTCGGTCCCCACTGGCTCTGAGCCCACCAGCCTGTCTCACCCATCTATGGGAAGGAGGCAGGTACCCCCATCAATGTTTATGTTCTCGGCTTCCCAGCCCTGCACTCTTTCCTTTGTATTTGTTCTATAAAAGCTGTTGCCTTTGTAATGGACTTCAACCACCCCTCCCCTGACCCCTGCCATTTGTAAAAGAAGAAAAACACTGCTTTTCTTCGCTTTTGTAATACTGTGTCCTGGGGATGTGTTGAGGGAAGAGGTGTTGGGTGGGGGCGATTGGGCATCAGGGGGCTGGTCCCACAGAGATGCCCATGGGACAATGAGAGCTCTGTCCTCCCCCACCAGCCCCACCCTACACCTAACTGATCCTTGATTTAATAAACACTATAAAGAGTCAAAAATAAAGCCGTACTTTTCTATTTTTAACACTGTTTAGTTAACTTTGAGAAATCCAGCCAAGTTCTCCACCAAAATGAAGGCATTACAGGTAATCCCTGGGCACTGAAAGGATTCTCACCAGCAATATTTAATACATAATGTTTCATGACAGCGCAATGTGGTAACACCTATGTTGGAGCTTTCTTTCACTTCTTACCTAGAATCCATGGGGCACAGGGCTCCTGGAATCAGTCCCTGGCTAAGTCATTTTCTAGATTTAAAAGTTTTTTTCTGGCACTTTAAATCCTCATAACTGAATAAAATGATAATGTCAAACAGGCTTTCTTCTCTTCAGTAGATCATTTCCTAAAGTCCTAACGATGATAGATTAAGGAAGTAAAATAAAATAAGAAAAAATAAAAGGAAATCAAATCAACTCTTTCATACACAAAGAAATAAAGCTGTTATACCCACATGCTGATTCACCTGCTGCCCACCCCCATGGTCCTAGGGGCGTGTCCTTCAGGGGAACAGTTCAGGTTGGCCCCACCCACCCACCCTGCCCACTTACGGTTGGCCAGCCTGCTCTGCTCCGTGGGCGCGCTGTCCACGGACTGGGTGCTGGAGACCGATGACACGCTAGAGCTCCGCACAAAGCCAAATGCCGCCAGCTTGGCTGCCGGGAGACGTGAGTATCCAGGAGGACGAAGTCCAGATTTTGGTAGATTGGATTTTGCAGCATTTGAACCAGAGGCTTTCTTTAAATCTGCTATAAAACAAACAAACAAACAAACAAACAAACAAACATCAATTGGCAACGAGATAGAGGAATACACAGACTATGAATAGTAATCTAACTCTATCATAAACTGGTCACAATTAATCTTGCATGGTGCGGTTCAGCATATTCACAAATATATCTTTCTTAGAAAAGCTCCTAGCTGTGGGCTGGGAGCTTCAGAGAACTTGCACAGGAGGAGAGGCAGCAGGCAGGTGAGAAAAGAGCAGACAACCAGCCCTATTATACAGCCATAAATAACAGTATAAATAACAGTATATGGTGCTTAGGAAGCTGAATGGAACGCACATATATGGTTGCAAGTTACCCTAGAATTGTGACACTGACATACACCTTAAAATCTGACATGCAATGGGTAGAGAGCCCTTGTGGCAAATATTCATCAGCAATTATACACAATGAGAAGTCACAGAAGCATGTTGTTGGCTAGCATTCTGTTCATTGTAGGAATGAGGTGAGCATAAAACATGGAACTGACCAGACTGAAATCCAGTCTGCATGATTTACTAGCTGTGTAACCTTGGGCACTTGACTCAGCACTTTAGAACCAATAGAAGGACTGAGGAAGATAAAACCGGCCTCAAAGATATAAATATTACTGCTTGTAACAGAACTTGATAGATGCTCCAGTTAACACTACTATGGTTTTTTTCTCCTTTTTTTATGATGTGTTTTTATGTTACACTAAAATTCAAAAAAATAAACTTTAAAATTAGTCCCCAAATATGTGCAAAGCCAGCTAATTTTAAAACAATAGAACATCATGCTATAAATTAACCATCTCAGCATGATGATGTCTGAACGAGGCTCTGTTCATAGCCACTGCAATGATCATTTCCACACTAAAAGGGGCTTTCAATACCAGATAGAACCAGAATGTTATCACACACAAATACTCTTTAATATTCCTTAAAATAAAAAAGGAGCAAGTATCCTACTATCCTGTATAATTCTATTGCCATTTAGCAACTTTTACCTGCAACCATATTTACTGTGAGTGCTTATATACATACCGTTCATCAGTGCTCCTCACTTTTTATCATCTACTGACAGATTAACCAGGTTGCAAACTAATAATAAAAAAGCCATTTATCTTTTTAATTGACATCTAAAAATCAATAAGGAATCTACATTAGAAATAGATCTATGTGTGAAAATCTGTAGAGAACCAATAGATGCCAAGCTGGACCACTCGTGCCTCTTCCTCACTGGGAGCTTCTCCTAAGAGCGAGGCTGTAGCCAGTTGCACATCCATGTAAAAACAGAATATGCACAACTTTGGTTTCTTCATTTCTGGGTCAGGAAGAGGAGGAGGGGGAGGGGGAGGGGGAAGAAAAGTGGGGGGAGGGGAAGAGGAATCAGGTGAGTACAGAGGGCAGAGAGAACAGGGATTTTGGGCTGCAATATTGCTAATTCAGTTCTGTCCTAATGTTTGGGGAAAAAATATTCAAATATGATGAGAAATAATCACTGTTTAATAAGCAGTAATCGCCCTTCTGTATCAGCAATTAAATGTCATGTCAATGCCTCCAGCTGTTACTTCTGCATACTTTTAGATGATACTCCCAGAACAATGAAAATATCCCTATATATCAGATATTGTCTTCACAATAAGTTTACACCAACTCAATTTTGAATATGCCTGTAAAACAGTAAAGGAGTTGCTAAAATATTAGATGTCATTTCAACAGTAAGTAGACACTAATCCCACCACATTTTGATACTAGTTTTAGTTATATATAACCTCTTCCCTGGCCCCCTTAATCAATAATTGACCTAAGATTACATCAACTCACCTGAGAAGAATATGAATTAATTTGTTTTTCCTAGAAAACAAACCCATATTTGAGAATGAAGAATTTCTAGGAGAACCATAGCATGTAGTAAACATTTAATATTTAAGAATGAAAACTTAGTTTACTAAATCATTATGTAAGGCAATAAGGGCACTGAAAACGTTCAAAGAGGAATTTATTCTACCCTACCCTTACTGATATTCAGTGACTGCTCATGCCGTCAGAAGAAAGGCAGTAGCAGAACATGGAGACGGAAGACTCAACAACGCAGGATCCCAAGTGCAGGTGAAGTAGGTTTCTAAGTGACTTCCAGACTATCACTTTCTTTTAGTCCATCTTTCCCTTCTAATAAAGGCACATAGCGTGTGTGTGTGTGTGTGTGTGTGTGTGTGTGTGAGAGAGAGAGAGAGAGAGAGAGAGAGAGAGAGAGAGAAAGAGAGAGAGAGTATAGGCTACTTGTGGGAGTATGTCTTGCCCCAGATATCAGTGTACATAATTTTTCTAGATTTTACATAATCTATACATCAAGTTACTATCCAATGGCCTCTCCTTCTGCCAGATAAATCTCACAAATAGCTTACATACCTTCGGGGTTTGGAAGAGTAGGTCTCATTGTTCTTTGGAAACCACCAGTGCCTAGCACGGTGGGTCTGATGTTATTATTCAACCACATTTAGCTAAAGTTTGCAGTAGTCAAGCTTGCAAACCATTCATGCAGCCTGCTGTGTGAACTGAACACCTCCACTGTCTCTCTGCATGAGAACTAGGCTGGTGTGGGGCTCAAAGCTCAGTTTTCTAAACAAGCACCTCAGTGATCCTCATTCAAGTCGTCCCTGGACCACACTTTGAAAATGTCAACAGAAGACGCCACCTCACCCAGTGAAAGGTGATCTTCAGCATTACATTCAGCTGCTGTGAATGTGCCTTAATTTAATCTTAGCTTCTCATAAAAGGAATTTAATTATAAAAATGTGTACTCCTTACTATTTCTCAAGTGCAGCATGTCAGAGGAATTTGTTTTTCAGCTACTCAGTGTCCTTGGACTATTCAAGAATATAGTCTATTCAAGAATATATTTCACAGAAATAACCTATGAAGGTGCATAACAAGTCCTCAATAAGCAAACAATAACAATTAATGTTAAATAAAACTGAGCACACACAAAAGAGACCCCTTCCACAATGGTGCCACAAGCTCCATGGACACTTTCTCCAGTGAATCAACCATTGATAGTAAAAAATTAAATTTTATTTTTATTTATTTATTTTTATTAAAAGAAGTTTTTGAATGTTTATTTTTTGAGAGAAAGGGTGTGAGTGGGGGAGGAGCAGAGAGAGAGGGAGACACAGAATCTGAAGCAGGCTCCAGGCTCTGAGCTGTCAGCCCAGAGCCTAACGCAGGGCTCGAACCCACGAACCATGAGGTCACGACCTGAGTCAAAGTCGGATGCTTAACCAACTTAGTTACTCAGGTGCCCCCGTAAAAAATTATTTTTAAAAAACAACAATCACTTCCCCACAAGGGCACTTGTGGGGATGAGCAATGGGTGTTATATGGAAACCAACTTGACAACAAACTATTAAAAAAAAAAAAGACATACACATAGGTCAATACCTGAGAGTCCAGAAATAAATCTGTACCTTTAATGGCAACTGATTTTTGACAAGGGCGCCAAGAAAAAAACAAACAAAAAAACAACAACAATCACTTACAGTTTCTAGAAATTGTTCCAAGGGCATACAGTGAGTGAATAAAGAAAACATTTATATATGGAAATCTACTAAATCCAGTAAGAAGAGTCAGACTGGATGGCACTTGAGCCTGATGCACTCCTTTCCTCTTCTGCAACCCTGTCTGTCTCATCGTGATGAAAGCTTTAATCTGGTGGCTCTGGCCACGACAGCAGGTTTCCTCTCCCCCTTGGCAAGAGCTACAATATCTCATTGAGAGAGGCAGGTTACCACCATTTCCCAACCCTATGCCCTCCCGCTAGGTTCATGTTGCAGAGGCTACGTTACATGCAAGCAGGAAGCCAAAAGGTCAGAGGACCCTTCATCCAGCCCAAGTAAAAAGGCAGAGGTACGACCCCAGGCACAATAGGCCAAAAATACTGGGGCCCTAATCCCTGTTTCCCTGGCTCCCTTGTAAGCTAGAGGTTCAAAATCAGGAGAAGTAAAGGGACAAGACCAGAAGCTACTGCCTCCCGCCTGGCACCCACTTGTAAATCAGAATTGTCACTCCTAGAGGGACAGACCACTGTCCCTACTACACCCCCCAGCAGAATCACGACTGAGAGATTTGCCAATGGTAGAGACTGGCCATAAGAATGAATATCACTGGAGCACTCTCTGTAATGCCCACATTAAAAAAGAAGAAAGACGGGGCTTCTGGGTGGTTTAGTCAGTTGAGTGTCTCACTCTTGACTTCGGCCCAGGTCATGATCTCATGTTTCATGAGGTTCTGTGCTGTCAGTGCAGAGCCTGCCTGGGATTCTCTCTCTCCCTCTTTCTCTGTCTCTCTCTCTCAAAATAAATAAACTTTAAAAAAGAAAAAAGATGTCCCAGCAATAAAGTAATCTTCCATCTAAAGACACTGAAGAAAGAAGAGCAAACTAAGCCTAAGCAGAAGGAAGGAAATCATAAATGCCAGAATGGTAATAGATATAACAAAATGAAAAAATAAAAGAGAAAGTCAACAAAATCAAAAGTTGGTTTAAAAAAGATCAACAAAGTCGACAAGCCTTTAGTTACCTCGACCAAGGAAAAAAAGAGAGAAGACTCAATTTGTAAAATTAAGAACGAAAGTGGGGACATCACTACTAATCTTGCAAAAAATAAAAGGAATTATAAGGGAATATGATGAACAACTATAACCAAACAAATCAGACAACCTAGTGAAATGAAAAAATTCCAGAAAAACACAAAGGAAAAAAAAAAAAAGAAAATCTGAATATACTTACAACAAAGAAATTGAATTAGTAATCCAAAATTTTCCCACAAAGAAAATCCCAGATACAAATGTTTTTAATAGAGAATTCTATCAAGCATTTAAAGAATACCAGTTCTTCACAAATTATTCCAGAGAAAAAGAGAGAGTGACAGGGGGAGAGAGAGAGAGAACACTTCTACATTAATTATATGGACCTTGATAACAAAACCAGACAAAAACATCATG